AAAAAAAAATGCAAAGTAAATTAAATGAACGAAAAATAATAAATACACCAACAAAACAATAAAATATAATTTAAAACCTAAATAGAATATTTAAATCACTGTTGCGTTAATGTATAAAAAACCCAGACGCCTCCTTAAGAGAGAATTTTAAAATTATTTAAAAATGACTTTTGGAGGGTGAAAGTTTAAAATTGGCATCATGCTGAGGCGTTTTCTATAGATTTGAAGGCAAGACAGGACTGATACTGAAGCATCACATGAATAAAATATTTTGAAGGTAGAAGATAAAAAACTATAAAAAATAAAAAAATAAAAAAAAATGAAAAATAATGTACGGTAGAAAGTCATATAAAAATGAAAGAAAAAAAAAATGTCAATGTAAATAAAAAAATAAGCAAAATCAAAAAACTACTGGAAGCATCTTTAATTTAAAATCGTTTATTGTTCATTGCTTGGAGAGAATTGTGAATAAACTTGGCGAAAGTATTATTGCAAAAACCAATTGTCACTTGGAACAGACATCAGACCTTGATATTTTGGATTGATATGAGGGATGATACCCATTGATTTTATCTTAAACTGGAAAAAAAAATTTAAAAAAAATTATATTTCGTTGAGTTCAAAATTGTAAGCTTGGCAACGCTGTATCACTATAAATCAATCTTACATTTACAGATAACGTTAATGGTTTATTTCATAAAAAAAAAAAAAAAAAAAAAAAAAAAAAAAAAAAAAAAATTGCAACGCTGTATCGTTAAATCTATACTTACACTCGCGGTAAAACTTTTACACAAGACTAATCTTATCATAGAATTTCAGCTAAACCACATTATCATACCTTTAGGTGGTCAATCAATTCGTTTTTTAATTAAAAAACGGAACAAAATGGGCATTTTTATAGGTCTGTGATGTCATGTTTGCAACGTTGTATCAACAGAATTAACAGCATTAACGTAGAAAAATTACTTATTATTAACGTATTTTTTTAGAAAAATGTACACTGACTGTTGATAAAATGTCTTAAAATATCATGAAACATCCAATGACTGTTGTTTGCAGAAAGTAAGATACTTGATAATACGATAATTTTTAAAGCTTAAATATGGAAACTTGTCAACGCTGTATTTCTAAAACCTAACGTATCCTCAAGCTAAGATTTTTACTGGAGACATGGGTCATCATAGAGCAAAGTAACAATATGTAACAATTTTGGATGATTATTCATGAATTTCCAGAGTGCCTCGTGTCTTTGGAAGAATTTTTGACGAGCCGGGGTCTTAAAGTGCGTCGTGGTTGAAATTATCTGTTAAACCTTGTTAGGATATCGACTGCTTCACTTTCTTCTTGCCTTCAATCTGGTAGAGATTGAGCAGAGAGCGCCGAGAGCGGTCTGAGTCAACGTTACGTAATTTGAACTAAATTTTGCAATTCGGAGCTACAATTTCTGGCTCATCTGTAAAAACACTTATGTGCATATGATGCTATGGGTACGTACGTTGTTTCTAAACATGAGACACAAATTTTAGTGCTCAATTGCAAAATGCAGTCCATTTGCGTGTGGATCTGTGTAAAAAGAGCTTCTCCTCCGGGAGAAAATTGTTCTTAACTTTTTGCGGACACATGAACAACATTTTTCTACAACCTAGGAATTTTTGTCTTCAAGCTTCACGACAGTTTTTGAGATTTAGGATCAAATTTCTTGAGTAAAAGAATTTTGTCCTCAGAAAGATAGGTCTCCTCTTACAGATCTGGTCACTACTAAAAGGGGCCCGGCATATTGTTATGAAAGGTAGCTTCCACATGAATAATAAGTTTTCCTCCGCTCCAATAGCCTCCAGACTCATTT